CTTTGGGACGTTGACATGGTACTGACGTGCTCGGCCAGGGGATTCTTCGGCCAGGGAGACATGCAAAAGGAGTTTGAGGATGCTGCCTTCACACTCGAACCAGGTCAAATGTCGGGCATTGTCTCAACGGCATCTGGTCTTCACCTGATCCAAAGGTCAGCCCCCACAACACCTTTGCTTGAAGTAATAGACACTGACAGGAGATTGAACCACAGGCTCGAGTAAGGACGTGGAGCTATTCACATGGCGTTTGACATACCACTGGCGGCTCATTTTCACGCAGCAGATGCGGGAGGGGTTCGACTTGGGAAGAAATCGTTCTCGCCGATGTTGAGAGAGACACCGGCTTAGGAGGTTCTAGAAGCCTTGCACGGCATTTTAACTTTAGCGATGGCGAACACGTAGGGACAGTTGAGATATTTTGGAAGGTCACAACAGTAGGTTGTTACAAATTCAGACTGCTGACCAATGTCTGTTTGCCGCTTCGCTTCGCTTTGCCTTGCCTTGCCGTCTGTTCCTTATCTGTCTACTCTGGTTCGCTCAATGTACCAGTGGTCTGTTGGGCCACCACGAAACAGAAGAAGATGCTGACATGGGACTTGGGCGGGGTTGAAGATTGAGGCGCTCAAGTTTGGTAGCGAACACATCGCTCCTCAAGAATTTCCTCGCACTATCACACAAATACCGAAGGTCAAGTTGTGGATTCTCTTCGTCTTTCTTGTTTCCTCGCTCACACCTCTCTCTCTCTCTCTCTCTCTCTCTCTCTCTCTCTCTCTCTATTTCTTCCGGCCAGCGGATAACAAGACCAGTTCCTGCCTCGCTCGCATTACCGTTCTAGACAGCTCCGACTGTTTCCGAGCGTAGCGGTCAAAAATATATTGAGTCGGTAAGCCAATCACATTTCTTTCAGACCATGGACCTTGCCTGCGAGAATAAAAGTTGCGGGATATTGCCGCATGGCGAGAACACTCTCTGCACACAGCACATAGCACACACACACACACACACACACACACACATAACCCATAGCATACACCACCCAACACACAACATCAAACACACACAACACATAATATACAACACACAACACACGGCACAAAGGCTATACCTAGCACCGCACCGCACGTCAGCGCTAGCACCCGCACCCGCACCAGCACCAGCACTCAACAAGGCTCACGAAACAATAACCATCCGAGAGGACTAAACCAATAGCTTCCCCAGGCGCCACCATGCGTATACATAAATAGGCGGGTAGGCACGTCCTGCAACATGGAACTGCTCTGACTGGCAATCAAGCCTTGCCGCTGCGCCAACAACAACTTTCACTTTCCCATTCAACCCCCCCAATTACGAGGAAATTGCGTCATTGGTGAACGCCGACCGCTGCATCCAAAAAAAATAATACCCATGGACGGATTCTAGCCAAATCACCTACATACAGTACATAGAGCTTATCCTGTCCTGTCCGCATCCACACACCCTCTACCCCAGGCTCCGCCAAGGATCCTGCCCTGCCCTTTCTTGACCTCTCTCGATCCTCACCTCCACCACGATCCTTTCACACAATTGCCGCACTCTTTCACGGCCTGCCAATAATCTTTCAGTCGATCCTTTGAGTACATATAACTCACCACCTTTCAAGCAGCACGCAGTCCACACAGCAACCACGACTCCCACACCTGGGCCACCCAACCTAACCCCACTACCACACCCATCACACTCATCACACCCACCACCAACAGTACCTATAGCACGTTGGGCACCGCTCACCACCTACCCTACTGGCTCCCGCCTCCAGACCGACTATAAAACCTATAACCACCTGCACTCTGAAAAAACACAACTTCACCATGGCGAGCAACAGTAACAGCACCAGTAACCCTGGTTCCCCAACATCAATCCACCACTCGCCTAGCTCTAATAGACAGAGCCGCACGAGCCGCAGCTCTAGTCGCCACCGGGCATCTCTCGTTGTTCCGGCATCTCCTCCTAACACCGAGTCACCTCGCACCCCGTGTCCTCGTGATGGCGATGCCTTCAGCTATAATGCGACTCACCTCTCCGCCTGGTTCATGTCTCAAGACGTATGGGACCACCTCACCCCTCAGCTCCAAGCTGCTCTAGCCTCCATGCAGCATTCTGGAGCTGCCGTCCTGACTGGTGAGTACTACTTTTACTCTCCCCTCTCAAACACACACGTTGTTCATATATATGCACTACGTTCTTCCATTTCTATCCAACGGCTAATTCTTTCCACCACAGGCTATGAGCGACTCGAGCAGCACACCGAGACTCGCGATAAGCCCGACCACAAGACAGAGGATGATGAGTTCATGGTCCAGCTCGACAACAGTGTCCCTAATATCCCGCTCAAGCTCCGGACCACTAGCAATGCTAGCAGCATGTTGTCGGCCGCCGCGCCCTCAGTCTTCACTGCATCGTCAAACTCCACATCTGGAACTACGACTCCGGCGCTCGCGTCCTCGCAGACCTTGTCTCCAGTTTCGCCCATCTGTTTGACTCCGGCCGATGCCAAATTCCCCTGCAAACGTGACCGCTCCCGTGAGCGCTCGTTCTCCACCCCCCTCGAACCACACAATGCGTACTACGCCACCGAGCTCTCCCATCTGCGCACCGAGTCCATTCCGCGTCTCCGTCACGCCACCCGCAAGATAGACAAGGAGTGGTACGAAGCCAAGCGTTTAGGCTCGGTCTCCATCGGCGACGTTGTCCAATTCGAGGAGTGGTGGGCCATGCAGAAAGCCACGATCCGCAACCTCGACGAGAAATGCCTTCGTCTCAGCGCCGCCATTGGCATCGCAGCGACCGGCATGGGATGGACTGCGCCGTAGAGGATAATGAGGTGGAACTTGACCGCCAAAGAGGTTGAAGTTCACTGCGTGCGAAAGTTCCTAATCCTTTTATGGGTTGAACTCTTAACACGACGGATATGTTAGTGAGGAGCTGGTTTAAACACAGATACTGATAAGTCTTTGGAAGGACTCGTCTAACCTTCCCCCACTCGCTCTTCTTCTCCTCTTTTTTACTTCTCTGTGTTTTCCAATCCAGCGCGGCGTTTGGACCGGGCACTTACAAGGGTCTTTCTATAGTAGATTTCGACTACTGGTTCATGGGTTTCTGCACTTCTCTCTCTCTCTCTCTCTATCTCTCTCTTTTAGCTGAGTGAGACGAGAGACAAAGGTCGCATGTACGCCTGCCCGGGCAGTCACCCATCAAGTAATTAAGCACATGGCATATCCAGAGGGCTTTCATTGTTATTTTGCCTGCTAGATTAATAGTTTCATGGAAGAAGACTTTTTCCAGAGGAATGACCTCCAAGGCACCCGTCGATCAATGGAGAGTGATGTGCAAACTCGATTCCTGGTGTTTCTGAGAATGTCTTCATCTTGGCACAAATGCTGGAGATGGTGGCACATGTGAACGAGTTGAGCCGAGCGAAATCTCTCTACGTGTCTTCGTTCTGTTGCGTCACCGTGTCTTGCCAGGCTTTATACGGGAGCAAACAAACAACACATTTCCTCAAAAATGCACCACCAATATGAGAATTGTTTTGGTAACTTTGTAGTAGGGTTTCCTCCGGGACGCCAAACACGAGCTCTTGTATTCCAGCCGGCATAGATTCGAACAGTCCGCTTAACATATGCTGGAACATGAATGTACCTCTGTCCATGACGTCTGTCTCCACTTTGGTGTTGTTGTGGACGTTATCAGGAGAGGTGTAAACAAGGCTCCGGTTGTAAGATGTCACCATAATTCTGAGCTGCTTCAGAGCCCTCATTTGGCGTAAAGTTGGCCATTCAAATTGCATGATTGAGTGTCCGTCTTCGCTGTCGTGTCCGACTTGGATGTGCAGCACCATTTTCTCGATCATGGACAAATGTGACATGTTTGTAGAAGAGGGGCAGCAGTTCAGCATAAAGCTGGCGATTAACGACAAGCAGGGCAGTGCGCATGTGATGCTTTGGGGTTGAAGGAGATGGAATCAACGGCGTAAGAGGGAGGCAGGACTGTTGGTAGGCATGCGTCGACACGGAATCGTGGGCTTGCATCGGAGTGTTGGCCACTTGGTTTTGAAGCTCCAGCTCGATATCTTTCGGGTCCAGTCTTATTATACCCTTCTTCTTTACAGTGGCCGTGTCCTTCTTCCTAAGCAATAACAAGGCGTACTCGTAAACTTGATCTCGCAATTCTCGCGGAAGAGCAAGGAAAGGAAAGATTCCATTCCGGTTGGGAAATGGCTGCGTCTCCGTGCAGGTGGTGGTGCTGCGGCAACGCTTAGTGTGCAAAAAACAACGGTACATACACAGTACATTACCAACGAAGATGGACGAGAAAAAAGAGGGCAAGAGCAACTAAATAATCGATCAAAGGAAAGCAACAAACGGACTCTGTGCCACTTTCGACGAGCGCCTTCTGTGCAATCCTCCGCCTCTCCTCCCGTCGACGCTCAATCGTGAGAATCTCGTCATTTGTACGCTTGACGACGGAATTCCAGACGGGGGCCCCACCGCCGGTACTCCTGCGCGCCGGCGTTCTTGTTCGCGCCACGATGAAAGGAAGTTGATTATGTAGTTGATAATAGTTAGAGGTTGATGTTTGCGAGATAAGGCTGAATCCAAGGCTGAGTCTCGAGTCATGAGATCGATATTTTAGTCGGTCCTCCCGGGAGCGCTAGGTTACATGCAGGATTGACATGAGACATACTTATGTATGTATTACCATGCACTGCCCTTTCGAAAAACTCCGATTGGAAATTTTTCGCCATATGTAATTAGCTAGTTACGGGATATAAAATAAGCATCTATCCTCTTTGATAGTCTATGAAATGGTCATGATTTCCGCTTATCACCTGACTAGTAATTCTGATTAGTAACAAGCCAATGAACGGCTGAGAACTCTAATATGTGGTTGGAAAAGTTCAGTATATATATCATTTATTTTTCGTCGGTTTACATAATCAACAATAAGCATCTCTCTCATCTTTGATGGTCTAGTGGTCATGATTTCCGCTTGTCATTTAATTAGTAACCCTAATTAGTAACAAGTCGCGGGAGACCGGGGTTCGATTCCCCGTCAGAGAGCTTTAGCATTCTTTTTTTTTTTATATATATGTAAGGTACAGCCTTTGTACATATAACCTCACCAAATGCTCCCCGCCCCTTCACAACAAGGATCTGTACATGCTGCGACGTATTTGATGCAGTGAAGGAAAATCAAACAATGGCAGGGAAATTCACCAAACAGAACAACCCACACAGATAGTAATTAATTAATTGCGTTAACTTGCACGGCTATCTCGGCGGACTTATCACTCCTACAGTGAAAGGGCTGCTAGCATTGCTATGTACATATGTAGATAATCTACACACGAGCCAATTGCCACTGTGGCCTCTGCGACCCTAGCAGGCCGTTCATGCAGGGGGCGTGTAGTGATCGTAGTAGAAGACTAAGTGTCGGCTATTTAGTAACCATATACATTCATATACTATTGGGATTTCCATCCTGTTTCGCCAAGAGCCAGGCGCAGTCCTTCTTGGTCAACAGAGACTTCCGAGTGGGCTCCATGACTACAATCCTACAATGGAAATACCTCGTGTTATCATATTACTGGCTCCAACACCTGTTGTTCAGGCACACCCCAAACCCCTTCTCAGTGACTGAATGTAAGTGGAAGAAGCTGTGCAAGGGCATGTCGAAGCGTTCACTTCAACGTCCCACCGCTGAGCTTAAAGGCAAACACTCGAAGCTACCACGCTGGGCTGGCCTTGATTAAGTACTCAAAGCGCCTGTTTTGGTCCAAGGCGACCCGCATGCTCTCTTGGAATGACCTATGTACAAGCACACCTATTAGTTACTCGCCCCTGTTTAAAGGATGCACCGGCAATTCATTTCACGTATGTAGGACACTATATCTTTGAAGACTCAGGCGGATAACCACCTCACGTTCCCACTTGTTCACTTGTTCACTTTTTCACTTTTTCACTCGCTTATTTGCCTAATTGGGACACGGCTGCCTGCCTGTGGCCCGCATCACTCACTCACTGTTACAAGGGATGACAAGGATGAGAGCATCCGTGTCATCAGACTGCCATCTTTCGCGCCCGAGTTCGCCTATGAGAAACTAGTGATGAGTGATGCCAAGATACAAGACATATCGTGCCCAGTCTCCTTGTATCCTAAGCCTTAATCTGTGGTCCCCTCAGCCCCCCTCCGTCTATGCTGTTGGTCGTCTCAAGATCGTCTTGCCTTTTCCTTCTTTCGTGGTGTCCGTTCACCAACATCTTGTATATTTGCCCTATTTCATTTCCCCGATTCGCGCACCAGCATGATCAAGCTGTTTGAAAGACGGCGCTTCATCTTGCTCGGTTGCGTTTTTCTCTTCTTGTTTCTCGGCCTGCTGATAAACCATCAAACGAATGCCCTCGAACGACTCTACTCCCCCGAAGACGCTAAATTCAAGCACATTGAGCGTCCGACCTACGTCGATGCCACAACAAATGTCACAACAAAGGACAAGTCCAAGGAGGAGAAGCTTGCCTATGTCATATTCCTATCCGACAACGGACCCCAGGACGACGATCTCGAGGACGACCTCTACGTACAGGCGATCCGCGTTCTTGTATGGCAGTTGAAACATGTACCAGCGACCCGTACCAAACACGACGTTGTAGTCATGGTGGCGCCAGGTGTATCACAGTCGCGGCGCGATCGTCTCAACAAGGACGGGGCAATTATCCATCCAGTTGAACTCTTACACACGAAGAACGATACTTGGATATCGATTGACGTGCCCCGATGGGACGAGGTTCTCACAAAACTCCGCATATGGCAGATGACGCAGTACAGCCGCATTCTCATGCTAGATGGGGACTCGATGCTCCTTGGATGTCTCGATGGCGTCTTTGATGACCCGGGCGCCCAGCTCCTGCAGACCAAACAAGTCGTCGACGACTACCTACCCTTGCCAGGCGAGGCGCCGTTACCCAAGACCTATCTCCTCGCCTCCCTTTCCGAGGTGTGGGATAGTTCACACGAATTTCCGCCAAAGGAAGGCACGGGCCTCAAGGATGTAGGAATGTTCAACGCCGGATTCTTCATAATGGCCCCGTCACTAGACGTCTTCCACTACTACACATCGTGGCTCGATATCGAGGGATCCTTTGATCCGAAGTTCCCAGAGCAAAACCTCATGAACAAGGCACACAAATGGGACGGTCCGATGCCTTGGAGGGAACTGGATTACAAGTGGAACATTCGGTACCCAACGGAATTCGACTTTGCGAATGGACTAGTGAGCATGCACGAGAAATGGTGGGAACAGAAATACATTTATGGAAACGACAAGGTGAAGCAATGGTTAAAGGGACAGAGATACGAGATGAAGGGCTGGTATGCGGCCATGGACGCGATACAGGCTGGAAGCAATCCAAACGACATGTAGAGTCGGCAGCAAACATGGGCCTGTGACGTGCATTACAGGCGGTGCAAACAAAGTGCGCTCGGGATATGCTATAGAGTAGCCGTCGACGAAGCACCTGCCATTCGGGCCGAGCAATCAATAATGTTTTAACTACTGTAGAATTACATATGTAGGAGTAATAATATCCTTGGTGCTCATGCATAAATAGCATATGCTACTGCAGGTACACCTCTAGCGCTCTACAATAGTTTCCTTTTTTATAGAGCCAAGTCAACTATTCCCGGGATTAGTCACGTGAGAAGAGTGCGTTCAGTGTGGATATCGAGGACATGTCGTTAAATAGATCATGTGTTCGATTGACAACTTTCAGGGAATATCTCGTAAAGAAAAAGGAGACTGTAAGGAAGTCATTAGGAATACAGAATAAAGGAGAAGGAATTGAAAAGATGATCAGTCGATAGACGCTGCTCAAGTGGCAGTAAGAAATATCTGACCGATCTTGGAAGCTGCCTTGGGCTGATGTCATGACTGCACATCCATATCATGTTTCCGTGATGATAGACACCCTCGTAGACACCCTACGTGTACTAGTGCTGCTACTGCTACTGCTATCATCTGCACCCCCGAATTCTGGATCTAACCCCTGCTTTTGCCTCCTCTTTGCCCTAGCCTTCTTCTTTTGCTTACGAACTATTCTGCGACTTCTTTGAATGTTACGAACCATCGTTCGAGGATTGAAGTCAATCTCTCCAGCGGAATTTGTTACAACTGGATAAAGAAGCAACACATCTAGCAGTAGAAGTATTACAGTGATAACAGCCGAGAACCCCCTGTTGATTCCGCGCACCCAGAGTAGGATGACTGGACTCAGAATTGCAGCAATGGCTGCAAGAATGAGAACTGTGGGTGTGAGGATTGCGATGGATGTTCTCGTCATCTTGTAGACACTTTTGCTCATAGCCATGCCTATCCATATGAGGAAGATACGGGTGGGAATTGGATCGTTGTACTGAAGCTGAGCCGCTTCGCGAATCTGTTTAAAAGTTTTGTTCTTGTACTCGATAATGCGCGAGCTGCGAATACTCAGACGTACTGTATACGCTACAAGCACGAAAGCCATAGCCACAAGTACGAATTGATAGAGCCTCACGCCCCCGTCTAGCTCGCGAATCTGCATGCTGAAAAGACTCGCTACGAAGGAGAGAGGGATGAACACAAATGCAAGCTCGGTCAGCTTGGAGACGCTCTCAGCCTCTGCAATGCTGCGCCGGCTGTCCACGATCTGCATTTCCGCTCGTAGTGAATCAGAAGACTTATCAATCAGATCCATACAGCTCCGCAGTGCCTGCTGAGTGTCTTTTGCAAGTTTTTCCGAGGGTAATTCGCTGCGTGAACCGAATGTCGAGTCGCTAGAAAATTGCTTGAATTCTCGTAGCTGTCCATCAAGCTCCGCAAGGCTGAAGCTTAGACGATACAGAAGAGTTCGCCAGAACAAGATGCGACGTTGCATCAAGTCCTCGTCTAGTGTGCCTTCGCGGATGCGGCGCAAGGTAACACGTATGATGCCTACTAAGCTTAGGGTATCGTCGTGGATTGCGCGCAAGAGCGGATGAAACGAATCATGTGCAACTTCTTTGCCCTTGGTATGTAGCTGAATTAGGTATTCGAACTCGTCTAATGTGGATGTTGGAACCTGAAGGCTTTCAATATACGTGCGCGCGTCAAGAGCTGTAGTATCGTGCCCGCTTACGGCGAATGAAGACGATCTGGTACGAATGGGGTGGTAAGGAACAAAAGGTCCATGGTCGTCAACTATGCGTGTCTCTTGATCGGATTCAGGGAAAACGGGTTGAGGCACGCCTACAGAGAATCTGCGCCCTTGCTGCGTTCTAGTTTCGGCTCCCTCTCCACCATTCGGGGTTGGATAATTTTCCATGAAGGCTTGTGTAGCCCGTCTTCTCAGTGTGGCTGGGACAAATTCGTCTTCAGGGGATTCGACCCGGGCTCCGGTAGTACTCGCTTGACTTTTGGGGGTTTGAGATGAGACGACGCCAGTCGACAATGGTAGCGGTAGCAGCGGCGGTGGCGGCGGTGGCGGCAGCGACGGGGATGTCGCAGCTTTCGAGAAATGTTAGTAAATATATTGTGGTCGCAGAGCGCCTGACGAAGGTTTCTATGGTAGCTGATTCTAAGGAAAAGTCTATCAAGAGTCCGACTTATGAACCAGCGCTCAGGTGAACCTGACGTGCAGATTGATCACAACTGTAAATATCCCGTCAAGAAGTTTACATTCCTCCCGCACTCTTAGACCTCTCTTGTATTAATATTCAGGAAGGTCTTACTTACAAGAAGCTAAGGCAGACGATAATGGCGGCGGCGACGGAGGAAGAGGTGGTGGTGGTGGGATCCAATCATCAATTTGGCGAGCCTGAGAGCGATCAGGAGCCTGAGATACGCCCTCTTCTCGTCTGATGCGCCTTTGGACGGCACCTGAAATTTCGTCGACTACTATAGGAAGCGGGTCAAGCAATATGACCACTTCATACGTTAGAACTTGAGTAAGCGTTCCAAAACTCAGGACATCATACCAAATTTACAGCCGTCAAAATCCTGGGTCCACATTGTGACTCTTTCCTCCCATGCCACGGGATACTCCGTTGA